TTTTTTTTTTTTTTTTTTTTTTTTTTTTTTAACTAAAATTAATAATCTAGCGTATCAAGAAAATATATTAAGAATTCCTAATAGGTCTCAGTGGAAAGCAAATGTATCTGTTACGTCTTTTCCGAATTCCAATGCTCAGCCTTCAAAACAAAACATTAACTATTCTATTTAAAAACCTCTATGAAATACAGAAAAATGCCATTGAAAGTGTGAATAAAATCAGTACATTCAACATTTACAAGAAAATGGTTTTTTTTTTTGTTTTTTTTGTTTGTTTGTTTTTTTACAGCTCTAATACTTTTTTTTTTGGTTTTACCAAAGTTCCCACATGATCTAAAATATTTATCTTGTTTTAATGCATCTTTCTGCTTAACTGTAGATTTTGCCATTCCAGCTGACCTTTAAGTAGTTTACATGAATTAAACTGATTCTTTCACTTGACTACAATCAGTCAGGAAATGAATTTCAGGCAAGCTCTTTACAGAAGTACTGCTATTGGAAAAACATGGCTTCTACTTGTTAACAACAGACTCAGTACAGACGGCCATCAAATGTACTGTGCAGAGAGCATGAAGCAGGTCATGCTCCTTCCACCTGCCATTCTGACTTGTGAGCTTTACCTGTACTTGGAACTTATATCAGATGCTGGGCACTAGCTCAAATTTGAAAAAGACAAAAACTGATTAGTTTTCTAGCTTTGCTGGCTTGTAATGCATCCATGTTCCAACAGCATTATTTTAAGTTTTGTACAAACTATTCCTTTACAGTACCCTTGTACAGACTCCCTTCAGAAGTCTTCCTATGAAGTAAACATTTTATACAGATAGAAAGTAAATGCAAAGATTTAAGAGCTTCATTTTCAGGTGTGGCAGACTGCTTACCAACTCTGAGCTAAGCTGCAGGTGCATAAATGTTTCTGAAAAATCAAGTTCTACATGATTTGCCCAAAGTTGCACAATAATTCATGGACAGAGCAGAGACTAAGGCTCCTGGGCTCTCTCACTAGTCATGTATCTGCAGTAAGGCCCTACCTTCACTGGAGGAAAAAAAGTTTGTAAAGGAATTACCACTGATAAACCAGGGCAGGGCTGTCCCAGTTTCTGAGAGGCTAGAGACCACACCTGCACAGGCTCTCCCAACACACAAGCTGTACATATTCCCTGGGCCCTCTTGCTGCACAGGTGTTTCTAGCATATGGGCTCCCCAGCCACATGGAAGAGGGGGAAGGAGCCCAGAGTTGTCAGCAGCGATGATGGGGAAGTGGCGATTAGGCAGCAGCCTGGGGCCCATAAGTTAACCCGTCCTGGGCCACACGTCAACCTGCTGACGTGTTAAAAATTAACCGCCGCTTTGTCCACACTGGAATTTTATCACGCTTAAAAGAGCCTTTTCTTCTAACGTGGAAGCAGCCTAACAAAAAAGTTTCTTTGGGAAAAGTTCAACATCTAGTATAACACCAAAAATTGGAAGCCTCTGGCTCCTTAGATTCCAAAAACGAAATAATTCACTGGAAATCTAAACTGTTGACAATTTGAAATGGCAAGACAAACAGTGATTTGGAAAAAAACCCAAATCATTTTCATGTTAAATACTTACAAACACATCACTTCTGATACTTATACAGGCGGTATATAGGAATACTTTTTGTGACGGTGAGTAGTTCTGCGTCTCAATAATCCACATGAAATGTCTGTTGTTAAGTTAAACAACAAAATCTTAGCCCATTTCAAACACACTTTAGTAGTTGCTACCTAATTTCAAC